ATCTATAAGTATATTATTAAATCTATAGGGTATAAAACGCAACTAAAACTATCGAACTAGAATAAAGACAAACACAAGATAAAAATTCACTACAACTAACAAACAAAACTTAGCTCTCAAATTCGGCTGAGAATAAATAAGCTCGAAGGAGACTTTTGAAAGACGGTAATGACGACGCCGATGTAACATGATCCGGCAGAGATTGCCAAAAGTAAATCGACGAAAGATGGAAGGAATTCCTATAAGTAACCGTCCTATGAGCGGGAATATGAAAGGCATGCGAAGAAGTGAGCCGACGTTCAGATCTTCACAGCAATGGATCAGGAGGTGTGAAAAGTTCACGTAGATATACCGGTGAATTCATGAAGACAAGCCGATACATTTGGCAACCCATGAAATAAAGCCTTCTGTTCTCAACCGAAAGCCAGCCGAGACGACGTCTAAACGGGGTAATATGTTCATCCCGCCGCAAATTAAAGATAAATCTAACACAGCAATTAGCTAGCTTCTGTAATTTACTGTTTAATTCACTACTCAAACCATGATACACCAGGCAGCAATAGTCTATGTGAGGTAGTACTAGAGTTGTAACAAGCTTGATTCTTAGCTCAGTGGAAAGAGAATTCATATTGAATTTCAGCTTATATAACGCTCCATGGACCCTCTGCGAAACATGTGAAATATGTTTTCTCCACGATAGATTCGACTCAAAGAAGACTCCCAAATTCTTAACTTCACTTACATAAGGTAAGGGCGTATTATTAACAATTACTGGTGGAAGAAGGTCAAGGTCTAAATTACTAACATTAGTCCTGCTGCCGAAAATAATTACTTTGGATTTGGCGGGATTAAGATTCAAGCCATTCGCCCTTGCAAAATCAAAAATCGCGTTAGCATCACTAGAGATCAACATAAGATTGTGGAGTAGATCTTTAAGATGACATGAGCGATAAATCTGGATGTCATCCGCAAATATCATATGTTCAGAGTGGATTATGACTCTGCCAATGTCATTGATATAGAGGGTAAATAAAGGAGGACCAAGTACTGAACCTTGAGGCACTCCACAAAGCACAGACAACCAAGACGAAAAATTACCCACATCATCAACCACTGCTTGCGATCGACCAGTAAGATATGAATAAATCCATAAAAGAACAGAATCAGAAAAACCTAACTCCTTAAGTTTAATCAAAAGTTGAGGATGCGGGACTGTATCAAACGCTTTACTAAAGTCGAATAGAACCATAATCGTTACTAATCCTTTTTCGATCGACTTCTTAATGTCATCACATACGCGAAGAAGTGCAGATTGAGTGTTATGACACGGGCGATAAGCAGACTGTCTTGGATTAATAAGGTCGTATTTAGTTAAATAATCAGAGATTTGTGAGGATACAATTCTCTCAAGCAGTTTAGACAGTTCAGGCAGATTTGCTATGGGTCTTGTGTCGGATGGAGACAGAGGGATGCGAATCTTGGAAAGTGGGCGAATAAGAGCACGTTTCCATTGAGACGGATACACTGAAGCTTCGAGTGAGCGATTGAATAAAGCAGTTAGACACGAAGAGATTATAGGCCACGCTATCCGTAATATATACAGTGGTATTCCATCTACCCCAGTCGCATAAGAATGGAGAGGTCGCGTGGAAATAAGCTTAAAGACTTGATCAGGTGTTATAGTAGAAAAACAGAATTCAGGATGTTGAGAAGGACGCACAGCATGGCTAATGGCAGTAACAATGTCAACACGTGTAGAAGGTAACTGAGCCGAAGACACTGATACATAAAATTCATTCAGTTGATTGGGAGTGAAAAAATGCAATGGAGAAACCAAAGTTGATATAGCAAGACCGAGTAAAGCTAGTTCTTTCCAAAGCTTGGCGGGATCAGTAATATTCTTAAGAGTATTGAATTGAAATTCACTTTTGGCTCGTTTAATATCAATATTTAGTTGATTACGAAAAAGTTTATAGGTGGCGTAGCCAAGTAAACTATTAGTACGTCTAGCCTGTTTGAATAACCGATTACGAGTACGAATACGAGAAATAATTTCATTTGTGAGCCACCTCACTGGGGGCTTCCTGATCACAATCGCACGATTGGGAGCGAATTTGTCAAGTGCCTCAAGCAATCCACCAGATAGAATCTCGCAGAATCCATCAACATCAGTATCAGACACATCTCCTATTGCAGTCCGCACACCATCAGCTATGGATTGAAGATACTGTTCAAACTCAGAACAATCAATACTCCTGAAGTTGCGTCGAGTAACAGAACGCACAGGTGTCGGATCACAATTGAAAAGCATCGACAGCTCAATAAGATCATGGCCAGCAATAAAAGGACTCTGAGATTTAGTAAATGATAACAACTTGTCAATGTCATCCACAACCAAAACGTCCAGCCATGAATCTGAGGTCGCAGTATGATAAGTAGGTTCAGAGTCAATTATATGCAGTGATAAGCCAGACATAAGTTCACGCAAGTATCTCGATTCGTAACAAGTTGACAACAAATTACAGTTCAGATCTCCGCCTATAATAATATTCTTGTAAAGGTGCGAATAGCTTGTCAGTGATTCAACAAAATCGTGTAGGAGAAGGCCCTTAGGTCGCCTATAAATGGACGCAAATAAAACAGATTCGCCCTCAGGGCAACGTACTTCAAGAATGAGATACTCGGGTGCACCCTCGCTGGCATTACAGGAAGTAGCGATGATTTTTACTTTGAGCGAGTGATGCACATAGCATGCCACCCCTCCGCCAATCCGCCCCACTCTGTCGTGACGAATCAAGAAATAGTTATCTAAGGCGACCAGTTGATCAGAAACATTCGTATTAAGCCACGTTTCCGAGACAGAGATAATATGATAGAAGTTAGTGCGGAAATATAAGCGTATAAAATCGATATGCCCGCGAAGAGAATTAGCATTAAATTGAGCTACATTAAACTGGCGTGACTGTCGACAAGGATTAATAGAGATCACTGAGTTAGGCCAGACGGGTCAAATAAGCTTTGCAAGATCAGCGGCATTGTCAATGTGAACAATTGTGTCGCCATCAGCCCGCCTGACACAAATGCGACCACTGCTCACCCAGACATACTTGTACGATTTTTGCTTGGCAGTTCGCTTAGTCTGCTGCAAGAGATCATAAGCAACTTTAGATAAGAGCTCGTTGACGTATATTTTACGTTCAGAACTGTCGCCGCATACCTCTTCCTGTGTAAGAGTACGTTTGGATCGCTTTTTTGCAATGACGATATCACGAACAGCCGCCGAGGCTAATGTGACAATAAGCGAAGTTGTGTCTGAAGGGGTCAAAGGTTTGCTGCCCGCAACCGCCAGGAGAGGCCCGCGAACAACAGCTCTGACATTAAGAACATGACATAACAGATTAGGAATGTCAAGAGCTCGAAACACATTTTTAACAAATTCGTCAGACGAAACCGACAATGCCGCTGGGACACCAGAAATAATTAATTTGTTACTATTACTATCCTCGTCACGAACTAAGGGGGCAGAGAGAGTTGTCTTCAACTCACTAACCTCGCGCGCAAGGGCCGCACTCTCCCGCTCTAATTCAGTCATACGCTGACAGTTACGTTCGACCTGATCAGCAATACGGTTTAATTGATTAAGCTTATCGTTAATTTCATCATTAGTACGCTGTTGACTCTCAATAAACGTAGACATTCTAGCATCGGATACCTTTAGTTGTTCAATCAATCTCAACAAAAGATCATTAGTCTTAGACTGAGACTGAGTTAGATCCTGAGTGCCAGAGAGCAAGACATCGCTGACATTACTGATTCTAGGCGAAGTAGAACTAAAAAATTCAGAGAGCTGTGAACTCTGACCATCTCTTGGTGTTAAAGGCATCGTCAATCGCAGTTTGCAACAGGAACTCGCAGCCTTAGTAATAACATACGCCTTAACACAGCCGGGATGAAAAACTCTGCCGCACTCAGGACAAGATACTGAATTACCGACGATTGTTTTGGTGCATTTGATGCATTTAGAGCACGCGCGCTGCATGGATTACAGCTAAGAAAAGCAGTCAATAGTCAATGAGTAAATATAGAAAGTGACAATGTCACCAAACGCAATTCACAGATTCAGTGCGAGTACTATAATATAAGTTAGATAGTCACATGTACACATCCGACCGCATGCGATAGAGTGCAGAAAGAGCAGGAGTAAGCGCATACACCGTAAGAACGTTTTCGCAGACGGTTGACGCAAAAATTCAAAATACGTAACAAGAGTAGGTATAATGCATGTGACCAGCCAAAAGACTCGTTTATATCACCAACTCATGCACGCACCCACCGCTGTCAGGCCCCACTTCAGTCAGGAGAGCCACATGTCCCAATGGATCCCGAAACTATATCGGCAGCGCAGGCATGCAGGACAGCCAACCAGTAATGAAGCTCACTAAGACCGCAAGTGCACATCCGAAGAGTAGTAGATGTAGAAAAGAGTAGCTCAGTCAGGAGAGCCACATGTCCTAACGGAAATCCCGAAACTTCACTGGCAGCGCCGGCATGCAGGACAGCCAACCAATAATGGAGCTCACTAAGACAGCAGTGCACATCCGAGGAGTAGTAGGTGCAGAAAAGAGTAGCTCAGACGGCAGGCACATGCGCAACAGAGGTCGATGACTTCCAC